CCCATCCCCCTCCCCCACCGGTTTAGGTGGTTTCTGCACTTGCTGTGCTGGTAGCACCAGGACCTCCCCACGGCTGTGCAACGAAGGTAAGCTGGTGGCTTATTAAAGTCATCAGCCCCCTGGTCGATGGTGTTCAGCTTTCTTACGCACACGACACGGGTAGGACTGTCCAGACTGGGGAAAACTCTTCACTTCCTTGCTTGTGATGAGCTGTAAGAAGTAGCGTGGCCATTTCAACTCATGCCGGCGGTTCCGTGTGTACTTGCAGTAGCTTTCCTCCTAGCAGCCGCACCATCCATCTGCTTTTCTCTTCTCTTGGTCCTGTTCTCCGTTTTTGTTTTGTTTTTTCCTTTGCAAACCTTTCATTGTATTGCTCACAAGTTTTATTTCCGCACTGGAAGGAGAAGGCTCCTGTCTGCTCTGTTTAAGTGGAAATGCAGCCATTTTACTCACGATGTTGTTATGTCTGTAATTTTGGAGGCTTTACCAGCAAGGATGCAGGGGAAAAGCTGCAATCTCTAGTGAGATCTAATCTGTGTTTATTCCATATCCTCTTGCCGCACCTCTTTCCTGTAGGGCTTATTTGCAGCTTTGCTTCATTGATGGTTCCTCAGCATGCCTCAAGTGAGCAGTTCTCGGAGGATGGAGTTAACCTTGACTTTTTACTGGTGCCCTTGCTTTTGCCAATGATAGAAAAGCTCCTACTGCTTCTGTCGGGGGTCAGTGCTTTTTTTTTTGGAAGGGCTGCCCCATACATCCCTCCCACACTACAAAACCGCTTTCTTCAAGAAAGCAGTTTAGGCTTGGCTGACCTTCCTAACCTTGTTTTATCTTCAGGTGAGATCTTTGCTGCTGGCTCATTGCCTCTTGAGCTCTTAAGTATAAATGCTTGTGTAACATGTCAAGACACATCTTTAGATAAAGAGAGTTCTTTATCCCACACAGTTTTAACGCACTCAAACGATCACAGCTTCTTGGGGAAGATGAACAGGTGAGGGAGAAAGAATGATACAGTGACATTTTGGATTTGCTTGGCAAACGCAGATCAAGCTGGCTTCAAGTTCTTGAGCTGTTGTTGCTTGAAGGTAGCTGGCAGGACTTTTCAAACGTTTTATGTTGCAAACTAGACTTTAAACTAAAACTGGTTCAGGGGGCAGATTTTGTGGTGGATCTTCACCAGCGATTTTTTTTTTTTAGTTGGACTAGAGTTTTGAATAATCTTCCAGATGAATTTGTTCTCTTCAGTCCATTTTAAATTTATTTTGATAATTACTTAATATTTTGACATCTCAAATCAGCTGCAAACCTTCTATGACTGATCATACAGATAAACATTTCCCAGTCTTCAGAAACCTATCTGGTGTTAAATAGACTTCGGTACCAGACTATGCAATTTGCTGTCAACGTGCAAGGATCAGAAAAGGGAAATAGCTTATAGGAGACTTTTTTCTTTTGCTTTAGAAAAACAAAATGGTTGTGGCAGCTCTGAGAGTGACAGTGACAATAGAAAGAATGTCATTGGCCAGGCAGCCACCAGCATTTGTAGCTTTTGTTCTCTAATGCTACCTGTAGCATGAGCTCCGTAACAGGGTACTTGAAACACTGGCTCCTTCTATCTGATAGCAGTCTTTGCCATAAGTTCAGCTCTGCTAGTGGGAACATCAGTAGTAGGAAACTTGTGTTTTAAATTCCCAAGTAGCAAAGCCTATCTTTGGTCTGTCATTATGCCCATATGCCAGTGAGAACAGGTGCCCTGAACTGGAGTCTAGTACAGCCAAGTAATTTCTTTAGTTCATCATGAGAATATGTTCCATCATATGCAGAATCATGTGGCAGTAACAGTTTGGGCCACTAGCGTTCTTCATTTGTCCCTTCATTATTCACAGAGCTTGAGTCTAAGCATCTTGCATTTAAAGAGCTGCTGCTGTTGTCAGTTAAGGTGATGAAAATGGAAAAACAACTGACCAACTTTTATCATTATTTTTATGACTGCTTAAGTTGGTTTTGACACAGTCAGGATATCTGGTCAAAATAGCTAGTAAGCTTTTAACTCTTGCTTAACAGCTTGCTTCTAGGAGACTTCATTTTCCCCATTACAGCAGCAACTCATTTGCTCATGCTCCAGGCCACTGACTTGCAAAGAAACTTACTTGCACTGAAAATGAGAACAAACATGAAAACACTTTTAATTTTTTTTCTAAGTTTTGAAAAGGTTAACTTGGGAGCTCATCCTGCTACTGTCCCCTGAAGCCACTATTTCTGTTAAATCTAAATGCAATGGACAGCAAAAAATTCATATTGTTAATGTATTTACATTGTGAAATATTACTAAAAATACATAGTGATAAACTGTACTGGATGAGTGCAAACTTCTGCTTTGCGCACAGACTGGAGTTCTCTGGCAGTGTGCTGTGGGTGCCCTTCCTGTAGGAAACGGTGAAATGGCCTGACTGGGTCTTGGGTCTGTTAGTTTAAAGAGCTCACCTCTTGTTTTGTAGCTTCCTCTACTTTGCAGAAAGAGCTTTGTGATCTAAAAAGCACAGTCTAGAATTATTAACCTTTATAATATGATGATAGGGATATGAATTATTAAACTTCTAATAGGATGCAGCTGTCCTGATCAGAACCCCATTGTGCATTAAAATCTGAAGTGCTCACAGCAGAGACTTCCTAAGCCTGAAGAAGGGTGATTGTGCCCAAAAACTTGCAGAGAATTTTTTTCCAACTAGTCAGCTGGTCTAATAAAATATCACATCTACCAAAAGAACCTTGCCTGCCTATGTCCTTAGACCAGCACGGCTACAACTGAAAACTCAGCAGTCATGGTATGTGAGCTATGCATGACTAGTCAAACAGATCCAAGCTGTAAATCCCTTTTAAGTCAGCTGATTATTTTTGGAACTGAAAAAAATGTCATTGCAAAAGTATCTAAGTGCCCCACTATAGCTGACTTAATGAGAGTTGGGACCTAACT